AAGAAATGTATTCTTTACCTAGCATGTAACTAGAAACTCCACTGCATAACAACTTTATAAGAACAGTATATTTTATTTATTTTTTTTATCATTTATTTACTCATTTATTTATGCTGTCAGTATAGGGCTTGAACTCAGGACCTGGTCACTGTCACTCAAGGCTAGCACTCTACCACTTTGCGCCACAGCACCACTTCGGGTTTTCTGGAGGTTAAGTGGAGATAAGAATCTCACAGACTTTCCTGCCCAGGGTAGCTTTGAACTGTGGTCCTCAGATCTCAGGCTCTTCAGTAGGTAGGATTACAGGCATGAGCCACATATGCCTGGATTTTTTAAAAAAAGAAAACACATAGATCTCTCTCATCTGGGCCAAATACATTCTGGATAATAAATTCTCTCTTTTATTTTTGTCAGTTGTGGGGACTGAAATCTGGGCCTGGGTGCTGTCCCTCAGCTCTTCAGCTGTAGACCATTGCTCTACCACTTGAGCTTCAGCCCCACTTCTGGTTTTTCCTTCTTATGTGGTGCTGAGGAATCGAACCCAGGGCCTCAGGCATGCAAGGCAAGCGCTCTACCACAGAGCCACCTCCCCAGTGCCATGGATAATATATTATCTTGTAAGGTATTTACCCTCCTGTCATCTCTATGCCCACGCTTGAGGTTTCTGTGGCATCCTAGTGTGACTCAGTAAAACACAGTGGAACCCTGGAGGTCTTCCCCTTCCCCCCATTGCCAATCATCATTTGGACTCCAATATGAGAATTTCACAGTATCTGGCAGGTGCTGGTGGCTCACACCTGTCATCCCAGCTACTCAGGAAGCAGAGGTGTGAGGATCGTGGTTCAAAGTCATCTCTGGGCAGGAGCATCCATGAGACTCTTATTTCCAATAAACCACTAGAAAACTGGAAGTGGCACTGTATTTCAGAGTAGTAGAGTGCTATCCATGAGTAAAAGAGCTCAGGGGTAGCACCAAGGCCCTGAGTTCAAGCCTCATCACTGACAAAAAAAAGCTGAAAGTGGAGCTGTGGCTCATATGGTAGAGCTCTGGGCTTGTGCAAAAAAGTCCAGGAACAGCCCCATATGCCCTGAATTCAAGCCCTAATAAGGGCACCCCCCCCAAAAGAGACTATATATATCTGGTCAATCATAGGGCTTGAACTCTAGGCCTGGGCACTGTCCCTGGGCTCTTCAGTACTCTAGTACTTGAGCCACAGCACCACTTCTGGCTTTTTCTGCATATGTGGTACTGAGGAATCGAACCTGGGCCTTCATGCATGCTAGGCAAGCACTCTACCACTAAGCCACATTCCCAGTCTATTATGTTTTTTTCCCTCTGTTTTATCAGCAGCAGGAGGGGGGAGGTCATCCAATGAACACATCTGAAACTTATCACGATCATGTTTCTGCATGACCCCATATTGGTGCTCTTCCTCCTCTTGGAGCTTTTCCTTGGCTTCCTGGGGAACTCGTTGCTCTTCTCGTTGTTGGTACACAGCTGCCTGCCCCGGCCAGCCCTGAGGAAACCTCTGGACCTCATCCTGGCACATGTGGCGCTGACCAATGCCTTGAGCACCGTGTTCAGGCTGATCCCGGACCTCCTGCCCCTCTTGGGTGTGGGGGGGGCCCGGTCCTTTTTTTTTTTCTGTCTGACCTGAGCTGCAGGACGCTGCTCTATGCCTACAGTGTCACCCGCGCCGTGAACATCTGTACACTGTCGCTTCTCACGGCCTTCCAGGCGGCCACCCTCCATCCCGGCCACCTCAAGTGGGACTGGCTGCAATGCAAGGCTCCCTCCTTCACCTTGCCCACTTGTCTCTCCTTCTGGATCTTCAACTTGATCCTCTACCTCCCTGTCCTGAACCGTGGTCCCGGGCCAGGCAATTATTCAGGCCCTGCAGCTTCTTTCCGCTGGGCGCCCTGTGAAAGCGGCCAGCTGCGTTACCACACCTCCACGACGCTCTTGTGTGTCCTGATCCTGCAAGATGCCCTATGTGTGGGCCTCGCAGTGGCCGCCAGCCTCTACATGGTGACATTCCTCTACATGCATCGCCACACAGCCCAGCGCCTGCGCAGCCCCGCCCAAGTCTCCCCGTTGCAACGTGAGATCAAAGCCACCCACAGCGTCCTCATGCTGGTAGCCTTCTTTGGAGGTGCATTTGGCTTGAACAGCTTTGTCACTTTTTACTCTTTTTATAGACCGCAGGTAAACCCAGCCTTTGAGAAGATGAGCAGGATCCTGTCATCCTGCTATCCGGCCATCTGTCCTTTTGTCCTGATGAGGCACAGGAGAGTGATTTCCAAATTCATTGCTTCATTTTCAAGAATGCGAATTTCCTTGACCCAGAGTAGATGCCGCTGCTGATGGGTCACCCCTGAGAACTGCTATTGGCCACATTAAAGGGGTGTATGTGAGCTTTTGGGTTTTTCACTAGGGATGAAGTGATTCATGCTGTTGTTGTAGTACCTGCGTGTGTATGTGTGTGTGTGTGTGTTTGTGTGCGTGTGTGCATGTGTACCCTAGGGCTTGAACTCAGGGCCTGGGTGCTGTCCCTGAGCTTTTGTGCTCCAGGTTGGTGGTGCTCTACCACTTGAGTCACAACTCCACTTACAGCTTTTTTAGTAGTTTATTGGGGATGAGGTTCTCACAGACATTTCTGCCCAGGCTGGCTTTGGATGGTGATCCTCACATCTCAGCCTCTGGTGCAGCTAGGGTTACAGGCATGAGTCACAGGAGCCTGGCTGTTTGTATATAACTTTTATTCATTGCCTTTGACAAATTGCTCAAACTTCTAATATTATATGAAAGAAGTGAATGGAAAAGGGACAGAATTTCATGCTCCTAATGGGGGGGGGACTTTCACTTTTAGCCTCCATAGTGATGGTCATAAATAGCATTTATGTGGCTGTGTTCTCATTATATGAATAATATGTATATATATATAAATATATAATATTTGGCTTTTCTTTTTTCGCAAGAAGAGGTGTTGGATTTAATAAAAGTTTACTTTGGCACTGATTAAATTGCCAGGTGAATCCAGTCATTTGTGTGTGTGATTTTATTTCTGGCTATGTGATCTTTTTTTCTGTTTGTGAAATAGCACTTTAACTCCCTGGAATGGAATCAACTTGGTGACTGATGTTAGGGAGTAAACTGAGTCAGGAAGCTGAAAGGAAAGAGAAATCTCAAATTGCATTCATCAAGGAGTGTTGCTAATCACAACCTGAGGCAGTGTGACAGGATACCAGAAAGTACAGGGACAGGTGTAGAAAAAAAGAAGAAATTCAGAGGGGACCAGGGGTCTGAACGCTCACCAGCACTTGGGCCTTGAGTTCCCCACAAGCAGACATGTTCATTTGAGTTCATACAGGGAAGGTTACCATAGATACATGCAAACAGAAAACATTTATACTAGCATCACAATCAGAGCCAAAACAGATTTTGTGAGCTTCACAGGGTCTCTTGTCTTGCAAAAGGAGAATGCAACTCAGGGAAAGTCCAGACATGTAGTCCACCAGATCTAGACTCTAAGCTTAAGTTGGGGCTTGAACTCAGGGCCTGGGTACTGTCCCTGAGCTTCTTTTGCTCAAGTCTAGTGCTCTACCACTTGAGCCACAGTACCACTTCTGGCCTTTTCTGTGTATGTGGTACTGAGGAATCAAACCCAGGACTTCATGTATGCTAAGCAAAGTTTCTACTACTATGCCCCTTTCCCAGCCAGTATAGAGCCTTATAAGCAGGAAATAGTGGAAATACACTTCCAATTAGACACAATGTCTAGTGGTGGGATTCTAGGCTCACAGTGTATCAGCAAATGAGCAAGTGTGTCACATACCAAGTTGGAGGCCTGGTCTCTGAGTAAAAAATGGAAAAAAAACTAACCAATGTGCAATGGCCTCTAAAGTAGAGAAGTAGGCCCCGTCTCTTAGGACACTCTCCAGAAAGTCCCATGGTTACAGCTGTATACCCAGAGCTATGGCTCTCCCAAGTTCTATCCAATTTGTTGCCTGAATCCTGATCACTGATGTTCTCCATTGTGTCCCAGTGCTATGCTGCTTGTCACAGTGTAGAATCATGGAGGCTGTAGGATCTAAATACAGGTGTCATGGCCTATATCTTACTTTGTCCTTGGCTGTACCCTTTCTCATTGGCTGCATCCTGCTTTGTGTTGGTTGTATTCTACTCCCTCATTGGCTGTCTACTGACTTGTCTTGACTAGATCCTGCTTCTTCATTGGCTGACAAGAATTCATAGGATGATTTAATAAAATTTCTTTTAACAAACAGCACTGTTAGTAGAAATAGAATGTAAGGGTGAAATGAAATATCTAGCCACTGTCTTCATAAAAGTTCATTTTTTTTTGGGTCCAGTAGTGGGTCCTGAACTCTGGGCCTGAGCGCTGTCCCTCAGCTCTTCAGCTCAAGGCTAGTGCTCTACCACTTGAGCCACAGTGCCAATTCTGGCTCTTTTTCTTTTTGCTTATGTGGTGCTGAGGAATTGAACTCAGGGCCTCATGCATGCAAGGCAACCACTCTGCCACTGAGCCACCTTTTCAGACCAGAAAATACATTCTTTATCCCAACAATTATATTTTAAGCAACAAAACCCAAAAAAACTTTGATGGAATACCCTTTTACACACACACACACACACACACACAGAGAGAGAGAGAGAGAGAGAGAGAGAGAGAGAAAGGCACATTCAGTAAGACTTCAAAACCTCAATGTTTTAAATTGCATCATATCTGAATTTGAGTAAGTTGTCTAGTGCTCATACCCACAGCTCCACTCCAGGTCCTTTGGTGATCAATTGATATTCTAGTCTCATGGAGCATTACTGCCTGGGCTAGCTTTGAACCTGTATCCTCAGATGTTAGCATCCTGAATAGTAGAATGATAGGCCTGAGACACTGGCTCCAGGCCCTTGTGGTGTTTCTATCACCCAACAAGGATGAGGTGAGCAGAGTTGGATGACCACCATGGTCTGGTCTTCACTTCCTCTTACAATGGATCATTCTTGGTATAACATGAGTGAGTGATCCATCGTGAAACCATTCGGTTATTCTTCATGAGCAAGAACGGGCAGAGTGTGGGGTAGCTGAAGGACAACATCAGAGGCACACCCTTGGATTGTTAAATTTCTCCAGCGTGTACAAGGAATAGACAGTCACGATGCTGTTGGAGCAATAGAAGAACACGAAGCAGCTGACCAGCAGCAGGTTTGTGTGGGTGGCTGTGTTCTTGGGTGCTGGCTGGGAGGCAAGACTGGGACTGTGGAGGTGCCAGGCTCTGCAGCGGTGTCGGTAGAGGAGCCTCACCATGTAGAGGCTGGGGGCCACCATGAGGACCATGGACAGAGCATCTCGCAGAACAATGGAGCTGATAATGGGTGATGGGGTGTGCCTTTCAACGTTCATTTGACAGTAGGGATGAGAAAATCCCCGGCTGATGTCGATGGAATTTAAATTGGATTCCACAGTTTTGATCATGTGGAAATAGATGAAGTAATCAAGATCCAGAAGGAGAGCAGGGAGGGGAGGATGCAGGTGGAGGATCAGCTTTTCAGCTAAGCCTACTGGGCAGGGGTGCGGCTGATGGTGAGGACCTGGAGGGTGCTCAGGAAGGTGGTAGTGCAGGCGGACAGTCCCCACCTGACCCTGAACAGGAACAGCATAGCCTTACACGTGGCATCATCCAAGAAACACAGGACTCCATACGAGGAGACGATGAAGGGTATGGACTCAAAAATGATGGTCAAGGCCTTGACCAGGTTCAGGTGCATGAAAACCATGGCAATGGGCTTCCGGAGCCGGGGTTTGCACAAGAAGCTGTATGCATACAGCAGGAAGAAGACACAGTTCCCCAGGGCGCCCTGACACACCTTAGACACAAAGAGGAACCTGAACACAGTTTCTCCTGCAGTGGCTGCCATGATGTGTGTGTGTGTGTGTAAGAGAGAGAGAGAGAGAGAGAGAGGGAGGGAGAGAGAGAGAGAGAGAGAGAGAGAGAGAGAGAGAGAGAGAATGTATGTGTGTGTTGCTGAGAATCAAAGCAAGAGTGCTGCCCAGCCAGGAAGGTGAGAAAGTTCTAGACAATACTCTGAGTCCTGCATGCGGAAATTTTCATGGCGCTGGATTTCTTGATCAGGTAAGCCAGACTGAGAATGAATGCCAAAAGATAGAGTGTTAAACAATGATTTATAAATACTTTCTGGGGCTGGGAAGGTGGCTCAGTGGTAGAGTGCTTGCCTTGCATGCATAAGACCCTGGGTTCAATTCCTCAGTACAATATAAGGAAAAAGAAAAAAGCCAGAAGTGGCATTGTGGCTGAAGTGGTTGAGTGCTAGCCTTGAGCTGAAGAGCTGATTGACAGCGCCCAGGCCCTGAGTTCAGGCCCCACGAAGGGACCCCCCAAAAAATAGGTTTTTTTTGGGGGGGGTGGGGCATACCACTTATGAATTGGAAACTCAGGGCCCGGGTACTGTTCCTGAGCTTTTTTACTCAAAGCTGGTGTTATCTCAGTTGAAGCACAGCTCCATTTCTGGCTTGTTGGTGGATCACTGGAGATCAGTCTCAAGGACTTACATTTCTGGTCTGACTTTGAACCTGGATCCTCAGATCTTTGCCTCCTGAACAGTTGGGATTACAGGGGTGAGCCACCAGGGCCTGGCCCATACAATTGTTTTAAGTGGAGTCTGGGGAAAATGTTCCATTTGCCAGTTCTGGAGGGTTGGAAGTGTTCTGACCTCGGTATTTCAGACATGAATGTGCTGTGACCCTTGAATCTGGGATGTAGGGCCTGGAAGCACCTGGGGAGACACATGTTAGAATCAGGAGGGAATTCAAGGCTACTACACTGGGCTGGGGTGTTAGGAAGGAAGATCACTGGCTGTCTCTTCCTGTGGTCCCTGGGGCTCAATCAGGGTCGGCAGTGGACAGTACAAGAAGTGCAAGGAGCCCGTGCATCTGATTGGCTTCACTTTTTGTAAAATCTTCATTTTTTTGATCACCTGTTGCACATACAGCACATCCATGTAAAATCCCTGTGAGGATGGCTACAACATGACTTTGTTTTTCTGGTTGGTCATGGGACTTGAACTCTGGGCCTGGGTGCTGTCTCCATTCATCAGCTCAAGGCGAACACTCTACTACTTGAGCCACAGAGCCACTTCTGGTTTTCTGTGGTTCATTGGAGATGAAAGTCTCACGGACTTTCCTGCCCGGGTTGGCTTTGAATCTCAATCCTTAGATCTCAGCTTCCTGAATAGCTAGTATTATAGGCGTGAGTCACAAGTACGCAGTACAATATGACATTTTTCTTTTCTTCTTTTCTTTGAGTCCACTTGTGGGGCCTGAACTCTGGGCCTGGGCGCTGTCCCTCAGCTCTTCACCTCAAGGCTAGGGCTCTACCACTTGAGCCACAGCGACACTTCTGGCTTTTTTCTTTTTGCTTATATGGGACTGAGGAATCGAATCCAGGGCCTCAGGCTTGCAAGGCAAGCGCTCTACCACTGAGCCACCTTCCCAGCCTCAATATGACATTTTTCATGGTGTATAGAGATACTAGAAGGTAAATAAATATCCAATATTTTCTGTACTTTTTTTCTCTCAGTCGTGGGGCTTGAACTCAGGGTCTAGGTGCTGTCCCTGAGGTATTCAGCTCAGGGCAAGCGCTCTACTGCGTGAGCCACAGCACCACTTCCAGTTTTGTTTCTTGGAGATAAGAGTCTCCCGGACATTTCTCCCTAGGTTGGCTTCCAACCGTGACCCTCAGATCTCAGCCTCCTAAGTAGCTTGGATTACAAGCGTGAGCCACCAGCGCCTGGCTTATTTTCTGCATGTTTGAGAGTTTTCCCCCTGCATCATTCTCACTCATTACTGTTCTTGTGTTTTCTCTCACATCACATAGAATCCTTTGTTCCTCAATAAACTAGCACTGAATTAAACTATTATCCCATTTTTCCTGACCAAGTCTGTAAGAACATTTTCAACCCATTCTCCTGAACAATCTCCTACACAATAAAGTTTCACTCTGGCCCTCTTTGCTGCTGCATGGAAGTATTCTCACCGTTTCCTGGCCAGAAGCAACAGCCAAATAGTTGAGCATGACAACTCTGTGTGTTGCCCTCGTCAGCATCCATTGTGCCTTCCAGAGACAGTTTAACTTTTATGAATTAGAATTCTGAGGAATTGTGATATTGGCTATGGCTCACAAATGTTCATCATATTCTCATATTGGTAATATGTGTTATCTTTCCTATGTAATCAGGATCTTTCCAGATTTTCTTTTTCTATGTGTGTTGGTCATGGGCCTTGATTCTGGGTCTGAGCATGGTCCCTGAAATTTTCTCCTCAAGGAGCAGTACTCTATGACTTGATCCACAGCTCTGTGTCTGGCTTTTTGGTGCATAATTGGAGATCAGTGTCTTATGGACTTTCTTGCCTAGGCTGGCTTTCAACTGTCATCCTCAGATCTCAGTTTCCTGAGTAGTTAGGATTACAGGCGTAAAACACACACACCAAAATTATCTTTTAACAAGTGCTTGCCTTTTCTCTTTCACTATCTCTAAACTTTTTATGTTCTTTATCATGACCTCTAGAACTTTCTAGTGAAGTTTGTTATTTTATATTTTCCCTTCTTATTGGACAGAAGAGCAGTGTGAAGTGAGAGTATTAAATGCAGCTCACTCACAAAGAACTGAATTGGGCTGCGTATTTCCCATAAGGCTCTCTGTTCTGATTCTCATTCCATGACTCACTGGGCAATTTCAGGACTCATGTTACTAGGACCAACCATTGTGATGCATTATTTTACAAAAAGACTTTAGTAATTAGCAGAAATAACAGGAGGAAAAAAGGAAAGATGGAAATGATGTAAATAAACCTGATCAAAGCAGTTCATAGACTTGACCAAAGTGCCGTGAGAAACCTCACACCCAGCTTTTCTTAAATGTCATCTTTCACCCAGTCAGAATTAAATTTCATTTATTCTCTCTCAGACACTGATGAAGCCAATCCACTGCTCTGAGAAGCCACAAGGGTGCAGAGTTGTTTCAGCTGAACAAGATTTCCCAAAACAATTATTGTGCTTTACAAATGGAATGAAAACTGCCCCAGAAAACGCTATCTCCACACTCTTGAAACATAAAAATCTGCTGTAAAAACTTGCTACTATGAAGATGCACTATGAAATTTCTGCCACAGAAATCAAATAGATGATTCAGACACAAAGATCAAGAGAACAATGTCAGAAAGGAGCCCCAACATTAGAGACTGGGTCCTCGGGTGATGACAAGGAGAGCAGACAGCCCTTATGGGAGAAAACACAGAACAAGTCAGCTCCTTATGAACAAGCCCACGTTTCACACACCACCCACTCAGTGTCCAATAGGATGGGGAAACGTTCACCATTAAAGTAGTAGTTGGCAAACTAATTTAGGATGGGAATTTTAGAGATAGCAATAGAGAAAATGCAAGCCATTATGGAAAGAACATTTTGTGGCTCACCTGCTACTCAGGTGGCTGATATCTGAGAATCCCAGTTCTAAGCCAGCTCAAGCAAGGAAAGTTTGTGAGATTTGTGTCTCCACAGAATCACCAATAGCTGGAAGCAGAGCTAGAGCTCACATGGTACAGTGTTAGCTTTGAGCAAAAGTATTTAGTGACAGCGTCCTAGCTGCAGCACTGGCGCATAATCACACACACACACACACACACACACACACACACACACACACAATTTTGTAATTCCGCCCCCCCAAAAGAAAGATCCCGCCCCCCAAAAAAATCCCACCCCCCCAAAAAAAGAAAGAAAGATAGAAAATGTACTAGAACTGTGTTAACTTATCACTGGAAGATGCTATCTTTAAGGAGAAATGTGATTGCTGGGTGCCAGTGGTTCATGCCTGTCTTCCTAGCTACTCAGGAGGCTGAGATCTGAAGATCGTTGTGCAAAGCCAGCTCTGGCAGGAAATCAGTGAGACTCTTATCTCCAATAAAACAGCAGAAAACTGGAAGTGGTGCTATGGCTCAAGTGGTAGAGTGTTCACCTTGAGCTGAAGAGCTGAGGGACAGTGCCCAGGCCTAGAGTTCAAGTCCCATGACTGATAAATAAAAAGAGAGAAAGAGAGAGACAGAAATGAAATTAACATGCATTTGTAGGAAACCCGTGTGTGTGTGTGTGTGTGTGTGTGTGTGTATGTGTGTGTGTTGTTAAGGCTTCAACTCAGGGCCTGGGTGCTCTCTCTGAGTATTTGTGCTCAAAGCTGGTCCCCTACCAATTGAACAACAGTTTCAATTCTGGCTTTTTGGTGGCTTATTGGCTATAAGCCTGCATAGGCTGCCTTTGAACCTTGATTTTTGAATCTCAGAAACCTGAACATCTAGGATGACTAGTGTGAGCCTCTGGCACGGGTCTGATGATTATATCAGCTTGGAGAGCAGTTTCAGTGAAATTGTTATAATCACTGTTACCCACAGTGTTTGTTTTTTGTGCATAGAAAAGCTTCCAATAATATATATTTAGCTTGTTTCCTGCTGCTTTGCCATTAGAGTTCATGTAGCTCAAAAGCGTCATTCAACTGGAGTTTTTCATGTTTTATATACAGAATCATCTCATCTGCAAATAGGATTAATTTCTTTTTTTAAATTTGTTATTGTAAAGATACTATACAGTGAGTTACAGTTACATGAGCAAAGTAATGAGTACACTTTCTATTGAGCATTGTTATCCCTACATTGTTTTCCCTCTACCATCCCTTTCCTCCCTACCTTCCCCGAGGGTTTTTTTTAAATTGTGAACATACTGTACAGAGGGGTTACAATTACATGGGCAAGAAAATGAGTACATTTCCTATCAAGCATTGTAGCCTCCTCCTTTGTT